ACCATGACTTTTGAAACAAGGCATGCTGATCTGAAGACATGTGAAGGCTCTAGATAGCACTAAATAAAGGTTAAATGGGTTTGCTGATTACTACACCCCCCCCCAACCTTGCCGCATATCCTCTAGTAGTAGGGAATGAGCAAGTCTCATCCTAAAGCAATTAAAGATGATATTTCCTTCTCATCCCTTCCATCCAGGGGTTGTCTCAAATCCAATAAATGTTGTGTTACTCCAAAGTTAAAACCATCAGTCATTCCACAATCCTGTTGTTGATTCCCTGGGAAGCCCATCAGGTTTTTGTTACACTGCAGCAACAATGGGCATGAAAGCTGGTCAGTGAAGAAAGCTGATAGAAAGAAAATCAACTCATTTGAAATGTGGTGCTGGAGAAAAGATCTATAGATACCATGGACTTCCAAAAAGACAAATAAATGGGTCCTAGAGCAAATCAAGCCTGAACTCTCCCTAGAAGGCAAGATGACTAAACTTTTAGACTGTCTTATTTATTATAAGAAGACATGACTCACTTTAAAAGACAATAATGCTTGGTAAAAAATAAAATAAAATAGATGTAGTTTAAAAGTACTGTATATCTTTATTATTTGTTCAGAAGTACATGCTGTTGTTGTGTGCCTTCAAGTCGTTTCTGACTTATGGCATCATGGGGTTTTCTTGGAAAGTTTCTTCAGAGGGGGTTTGCCATTACCATCTTCTGAGGCTGAGAGAATGTGACTTGCCCAAGGTTATCCAGTGGGTTTCCATGGCTGAGCCAAGAATCAAACCCTGGTCTCCAGGGTCAGAGTCCAATGCTCAAACCACTACACCATGCTGGCTTGGTATACAAAACATAAATGAATTTCATGTTTAGACTTGGGTTCTCCAAGATAACTCATTATGTGTTTGCAAATATTCCAGAATCCAAAAACTTCTGGTCCCAAGCATTTTGGATAAGGGAGACTCAGCCTGTAGAACCATTACAGTTTGTCACTTTAGTTCTATCTCTAGGGAATGTTCTTTAAATAACTAAATAAGGAGGTGTTGAGGGAGGAACAGAAGGAGACCATGCAAGGATTGCAACAATCTGAAAACACATCCTCTCCAACTATCCTGATTTGGCAAGGACAGTCCTGATGATTAATCGCCTGTCATCCCACTTTTTTAGCTGTTTTTAAAATGTCCTAATTTCTCTCTCCTCCACCCACTTTCCCCCTTTGTCCTCAGTTTACCCAATTTGCTGCACTTTAAATGCAGAAGTAGTTTGCACTCAATTAACTCAGCAGCAGGGAAAGAAAGGAGGGAAATGAATCTTGCAGAGGACCAGTTCATTATGATGTGTTTTAGAAACTTGTAAGCTGCTTTCTAAGGACTGTGTGCCTTGAAATTCAACATAACCATCTTTAAAACAAATAGCCCTGAAAATGCAGCCTAATGGAGGAACTCACATGTATGTCTTCTGTCCCATAACCAATTGCAATATGAACAAATATAGATTAATTGACTCAAGATCTGTTGCGAACAGTGCCAGCTGCTCCCAGGATAGATCTTATTTCCCAAATTGATGTAAACACCCCCTTTATTTAGACTGTTGTTTATTTTTAAATGCAATATTGCCATTAAAGGAACAAAAACACAATGTTACAATTGTAAGGAAGAAAGTCAATATGCCAAACATAGCAAATACTCCCACAATGACCATAACTTCAGTCAGTGTTGTAGATTTAACATTGTGATGTATAGAAAGTGTTTGCTTAACAAGGATTAAATCAAAACAAAAAGCATGGATGTCATAATAGAGCCACCTATGTTTTTTTTTGGGGGGGGGGTTATCAGCCATCTCTCCTTCATATACACTGATTGAAATAATACAGGTATCATTAGTTATTATTATAAATAAATATTAAGTAATATTTATGTAATAAAGTTATGTAATATTTATTTATTATAATAAATAATATTAGGTATAGGTGTTACAAGAGCCAGTGTGGTGTAGTGGTTTCAGCATTGGACTATGACCCTGGAGACCAGGGTTTAAATCCCTGCTTGGCCATGAAACTCACTGGCAAGCTTGGGCAAGTCACACTCTCTCAGCCTTAGGGGATGGCCATGGCAAACTCCCTCTGAACAAACTTGTCAAGAAAACCCCATGATAGGTTCACTGCCTTGGGGTTGCTGTAAGACAACTTGAAGCACACAACAACAATAGACGTTAAGAGCCAGCATGGTGTAGTGCAGGGGTAGGCAACCTTTTTAAGCCGGGGGCCGGGTTGCTGTCCCTCAAACAATTGTGGGGCCGAAGCACCATAAATAAATTAAAAAAAAAAAAAAATAAAAAAATATGCATGCACACTCTCTCAGCCCCAGAAAAGCCATGGCAAAACCCCTGTGGAGATTTTGCCAAGAAAACCTGAAGAACAAGTAATAACAACTAATCAATATTATCATGGTGGGCAGCGGCAGCGGCGGTGGGGGCAGCGGCGGCAGGATCGGCTTGGGGCTGGTCCAAAGGCCTCAGGGGGCCGCATCTGGCCCCCGGGCCTTAGGTTGCCTACCCCTGGTGTAGTGGTTTTAACTGCTAGACTGGACTCTTGTCTATATTCCTCTTGAATTGTAGTGCCCAGACCTGGACACACTATTCCAGGTGAGGCCTGACCAAAGCAGAATATTACTATTACTTCCCTTCATCTAGACACTATACAGTGGGGCCTCTTTATCCATGGACTTGCCATCTGTGGATTTAAGCATTCGCAGATGGCAATCCCCTGTTGTCTCCAATGATGGCTTGTCGACGTGGCCACACTAGCGGCATGCGCACGTCGTGCCACCATTAGGGAAAATGGGATTTGAGGTCCCACATTTTTTGGTATACACAGGGGTCTGGAATGGATATCCCACAGATACCAGGGTCCCACTATACTTCTGTTGGTGCAGCCTAGAATCACATTGGCCTTTTTAGCTGCCGCTAAATGAAATGGATTATCCTGGAAATGGGAGTGGCTGGCTCATAGACCCTGGAACAGCAGCACTCCAACATTTTGTTACAGATTCACTTCTGATTCTTCCTAGCCAGAGCTTGGAAATTTTACTTTTTAACACAACTAATCCCAGAATCCCTCCAAAAGTAACTTTTCCAAGCTCTGCCCTTGTACATGTGGACTTCTAGTAAACCAGAAATGGATAAACTGAAGCTATAATTTCCAGAATCCTAGTTTTAAACTAAACTAGGATTTCCAGAATCCTAGTCTAGGATTTTCAGAATCCTTATTTTGGCTCAGCTAATTATTAAAGTCAAACTGAAGACAAAGGGGGAAAGTGGGAGAAGGAGAGAGAAACTGGGACATTTTAAAAAGCAGTTGAAAAAGAGACGACAGGATTAATCAGACTGTCCTTGACAAATTGGGGTAGCTGGATGCTATGGAATAGGTGTGAGCTACAGTCAGTTTAAGCTCTGGAATCTGCCCATTTACAGATTGCTGTGAATGCATCATCCCCAACTCCACATTTGTACGTGCAAAAAATGCTCATAGAAAAGTACATATATCAAATATATATACAAAACATAACTGAAAAGCACTTTTGTTTTGTGTAGGAAGTGCATGCAAGAAACACATACCTTTTGAAAATGCATGCAAAGATGCACACATTTGCAAAAATACATATACAGAAGCGATAGCAATTGTCCCATAAAATAAGATGGGACTGAATACAGGCTGGATATAGAAATGGGAAAAACAGGACGCCCACAGATGTGTCGATCTCTACTTACTGTATGACTGTGTGCAGTGAGTTGCATGAAAAGGCACAGATTTTTTTTTGCTTCTCTTCCATATACAATAAACTCACACTAGATGGCTCTTTTACATCAAGCAAATATGGCTATTCTCAGTGGCAAGATTGTCCACATGACCTTAAGGGAGGAAGCAACACACAATGCAATTGCATAACTTTTTAACTGAAAAAGAAAGAAAGAAAGAAAGAAAGAAAGAAAGAAAAGAAAAGAAAAGAAAAGAAAGCAGATGCATATGGAGCAGCACAGAAAAAATGACAGTGCCTTTTATGAGTACTGTATGTTTGTGTGTCGTGATGAGTCCCATTATGGCTGCTGTCACAATGCAGAATTAATGCAGTTTGACACCATTTTAATTGTCATGGCTTCATCCTGTGAAATCCTGGGGTTTGTAATTTGTTGTGGCACCAGAGCTCTCTGACAGGAGCCCTGGTGGTGCAGTGATTAAACGCCTGTGCTGCAGCCATTCACTCACAAACGACAAGGTTGCGAGTTCAATACCAGCCAGGGCTCAGGCTCGACTCAGCCTTGCATCCTTCCGTAGGTCACTTAAATGAGTACCCAGCTTGTTGGGGACAAATAGCTTACAGTTGTAAACCACTTAGAGAATGCATAGCGCGGTATGAAGCTGTGTATATAAATGAAGCTGCTATTGCTATTGCTACGAATCAAGTTGCTGTGTCACCCCTGGCAACATAGCAATATTCTTCATATGCATCTCTAAACCTTTAAAGTGATGGTGAACCTATGGTACGCGAAGCCATTTTCCCCGGCACACGGAGGGCAGGGAGGAGGAGGAAGAGGTGCATGCCTGTTCCTCCTCCT